TTTAAATGAGATTTTCTTGGGGGAAAAAAGCCTATGATGTATTATTATTCAGAGTCCTTAAAGACTCTTTGCATACAATTAATACATATGGTTACCTATATTTTAGAAAATGGATTTTAGAATACAAAGTTTTAGAAAGCAAGAAGCCAAATGCAAAATAATCTGTCTACAGATATGACATTTAATCCTTCAACAAAGGATGTGGTTTGGAAGTAAATCCTGTATTTTTGTGGTACATAATATTGAACTTTAATAGGATCAGTTAATATGGGAGAATGATCACTTACTTAAAACAGTTATGTGGAAAATTCAGTAAAGTATTTCAATTAAAACATGTAACTCTTTCTGACTAAACAAATTACATAAACCAGTCTCAAAGCATGTATATTTAATTAATTCTTCTGTAACATTCCTTGCCCTAAGTATAAAAATGAAAAATGATTGTTTGTGGCTGTAGTAGAATTTAGCATTTAAGGAACCTATTTTCTATTAAAATTTAGTGTTGCAGTTTATCTATGCCACTCATGATTTAATAATAGTGTTATTTTCTGTATAGTCATTGTACCATTATGTGCCCTTTATTCTTGTTAGCAAATGTTGCACAAAAACAGGAAGTACAGTGATCTGTTACTAATCTGGCATTTCATCATACTCATTCTGAAATACTGCTTCTGCGATCAACATCAACTGGAGTAAGAATCATCCACTTCAGTGTATGTATTACACAGGGTGCTATTTAGCATTCCCATTTAGAATGTTTCTCATTTAAAAACACATTTGTGCAGAAACATTACAACACATAACATTAATATATGTGAAGTTGCTAGCTATTATCTAGGAAACCATACAAAGGCCAGATTCCACTAATGAGACTAAGAAAAACATATAACTCCTTGAAAGGAAGGAAAGTTTTTTTAATACCCATGAAAGTATGGTATTCCATTGGCTATTATTAGCCAAAAATCCTTTAACAATCCTAATCTAAACAATACAGGAAAATAATTTAGAAACAAGTAATACTTTAAGGAAAGAGCTGACATTTGTTTTTGTGAACAGTTGATATACGAGTACTTTTTGCCAATTGGCAGAATTCAGAATCCGGAAGTAAGTTTAAAGATTCTACATCCTCTTGAATAATTAGTGGGATTAACCAAGCACCCACATTGCAATCTTTGAATCTTTGTTGGTTGTGGAAATGGCAATTTTAGAATAGTTGTATTCTTTCCACAACTTAAGAATATATTTCTAAATTATGTTTTAATTTAATAATTAAGAGATGATATACTGTTTAGTAGAGGAAAATGATAACCTAGTAGAATTAAGGCAATTGAAGATGCTGTTTTGTGAAATACAGCTCCTTGAAAAAAATTACTTAAACTTTGCTCTTTTAAAAACCATGACAATGTGAGACAAATTGAAGCAAAACTAATTAGGATGCTTCTACTATTGAAATGTAATGTAGTTTAGAATATTCTAGAATGAATTATTTTAAATATATAAGTGTAGAGTTTAAACTAGCTTTTTAAAATTTATCTTGTAGCAACAGATTAAATACTGTACAGGCAAATATCAACCAGTTAAGCAATACAAGTTTGTGTCAGTAGAGGGCATACATTCATTCTAAGAACAATCATTAAAATATTCTAATGAAGCCTACTACAGTATAAAAATCTAGTTCTTACCAATCTGTCTCATTCAGATAGCAAAGCCATGAACAGGACAAGTTATCTTTCTCTAAAAAGTGAAATGGATAGGAATTTTAGTCTTCATTCTTTCAGAAATGCAAACTTATTTTAATGTTTGTCAGTTCCACCTGGCCACAGATGTCCAAGCTTTGAAAAGAATTTCACTGTTAGTTTTGAGTTGACATTTTTCCTTGAAGCAAAGCCGTGCTGCGATCCACTGTCTCATTTCAGTTTGTTTCACCAAACTAGCTTTTGTGAAAAATGTAACTGCTGAGCAAAAGATTAAGGTATTTTGTTTCTGTTGCACAAAACACAAAGTGGATATGCTTTTTTTTTTTTTTTACAAACTCTTAAAAATAGTTTGAATAAAGAAAATTGGTGTGTTATGACAAAAACCGTAAAGATGAATTAGCTTAAATACTGATGACTTATCATAATATACATTTTCAGGCATTAATCCAACTATGCCTTTCAATACTATTTGTTCAATTCAAACATTAGTTCTGGAAGAAGTATAAGAAATTTAAAGATGCCTATTATCAGCTTCTTCTGATAATTTACATATTTTCCATTCTACTGAGATATACAATATTTCCTTCTAAAATTCCATTAAGACATTTTCTCTTAACAATTGTACACCTGTTTATAAAAAAAATATTCTGAACGGGATCTTTTTTGGTGATGAATTTCCATTTTTCTTCATTGTTAATGCACACCCTGCCTTTTAATGTCTCTTTGCTAAAGAGTATAGCATTTTCACAGAACTCTTTTTGATCATTATGCAGATCCATGCAAAAAGTTTAGGCAGTCCTCTTCTAACTTACTTTTTGAATCTGCAAATAAATAGTATGCTTATTTTGATTAGCAGAAATAGTTAATGTTTAAATTTGTACTATCTAAAGGTTGATATCTGTTGCTTGGAAATTCAGTGAAACATACAATTTTACCTGAGGTGCCTAAATTTTAGTATGCAAGTATAAATGTTAACCAGAATGGATGAATCCTCAACAAATATACCAAATTTTTCTCTTAACAGAGTCATCCATGGGATTAAGGGCTCCCTTAGAAACTAAACTGAAAGCCTTAAATCATCTATTTTTAGTGGGATTTTATTTTTCAGTACACAGTCTATTGCAATATTCAGTCCTGAAAGTTCATCTCATACATGCACTCTAATACTAACAGTATAAAACTCAGATTTGGTAGCATGAAATAGATTGATAATGAAGCTAGGAAAGAGTTGGAATTATGATTTCTCTGCCAAATTTTTAACAGTGGACAAATATTTTACTATTACAACCAGATAGCATAAAGATAATTTTTCTTAAAAGGAAATGAATAATGAATACATATATCACCAAACTGATTTTTAATGGAGTAGAAAGGGGATATTAAATATGCAAGGATGATATTAATACATTTAAATTGGGTTTCTTCCATTGCCCTAGCCTTAGTCCTGAGGTTTTGCACACTGGCAGCAGTCTGTACATACATTTATTACTATACCAGTATAATAGTTCCCAGGATTAGGTTCAACTTTACACTTCACAAAGAAAGACTGCTCCCACTGATGAAAACTTTTTTATACTGCTAATAGTCAACCAGCCAACTCCAGCATGCACTTGAGAAATTTAATTATTCCCACTTCAACAATTTCAATTGCACACATACCCCCAAATCAAAAGAAGTTCCATAAGCAATATTTCCTAAATTTAGACCATACTAAAATGTTCCAGTTATCTTCTGAAAGAAGACCAAAATTACATGGTGGTGAGAATTACAAAACAATATTGCTGAAAACAGGATTCCATTACCATTTATAAAAAAAATTGAAACACTGTAATCAAAAGCTAGGTTTTATTTGAGCTGTCTGAATGTACAATGATTAGCAGGATTTTTAAAACAGAAATAATTCCAGAGTAAAGCTTAGGGCCAGGCTTGACACTGAATTAATCCAATGTTAAACAAAAGGACAACACAAGCAAACATAGTAAAGATTAACATTCAAGATTTAACTTAATCTAAACAGTTTTCACCTACAAGACTTCTTTAAATTGTTTACTCTATTTTCTGGAATAATGTATATATCTATCATTACCTTGTACCCACACTTCCAAATGTGGAGGCTCAACTACCCAAGAGTAATAGGGTCAGTTTGAGGTAGTGTGCAGTATTAAACCAGACAATTACATCAATTTACTTGCAAACTATAGCATCCAATTGGGCAGCATATCAGTGATCCTTATAGTTACCCAGCTTGATACAGCACAAAAGTGAATATATTAGTGTAAAGAGTTTTTTTAAAACCACCAATTCCATAATAAAGATGGCAAAGCTTTTTTCACTAATGGCTTTTATTTCTGGGTTCTGCTGAAATTACCATGACTGAGTCAGTAATAATGAAGAACCAGAAACAAATTCGATCTGGAACTGTCAGTTTTGCCTTAAAACACCTGCCAAATTCTTAAAGTCTCTTTTTGCGGTGGGGGGAGACAATTTGCCACCCTTTTTCTAAAAATTACTGTACAAAATATGTTTTAGAAGTACAATTTTACTAGTAAGTAAAATTGACATATTGTTTTTTAACAGTATGCTTGTGTCCTATTAGATGGAATCATATTTCTCCCACCCCATAAGAGCCAGTATGCATCAAAATATATAATTCAGATTACTTAAAAGTCATCACTGATTTGTTTTGGTAAAGTAAAACATATGCTTATTTAATATGGATGGAATGGACGGAAGTATAGTGTTTACATCTTTGACTTTAAGTTGCCACGTCCCAAGGCAGTACTTATCTCTTTACTGCTAATAAATAAATGCACAACTTTGCCCATATACTTCTCCTACATGTATGCAGATGATTGTGAGACAGACAGCTATAGCTGTAAATTACTGTTTATAATAGCCACTAGGGGAAAACTCATTACCTAACAACCAAATCATACAGAATGGCAAATTCTATTGTATATTCTTTGTAAGTACAAAGAATATACAATCTATAATCTAGTACAATCTAAAATGTAGGGCAACATAATAATATAAATCAGCCTTTTACTGATACATACAGTTGCAAAACACCCTATTGTGAAATGGCAAGTTGTCTGTACCAGCACACAACAGTAATTCATATATTCATCAATCCCAATCTACATCTTTGGCTGGTAGATAGTCAGTTTTGTCACTATTTATTCCACTGTTCTAAGAAAGGATATATGAAACAGTATTGATATTAAATTGAACTTTACTGGAGCAACTTTTAATTTGAATTATTAAGCATTTTAGAGAAAAGATGTAGTATTTTTAATCTGAAAGTCAAAAAGTTAAACTACCAAAAAGTAATTGATTTTCTTTTTAGGATCAATGTTGAAGCTCAAATCATTTGAGATTTTATTGATTTTGGAATATACCCAATGAAGTCATTAAGTCTATGGGACTAATAACTAAAACTGAATCCAATCGCTAGTGCATCATCACTCTTAACTGGAGAAGGTATGTATTTTTAAATATATCAATAACAGATTTCCTTTAAACTATACTGGTAAAACAGCATCTCAAATAAAGAACTGGTTGCAAATTTTCTTGGATTCAATCTCTGCATGATCAAATTGCCATGGGATACAAAGACTTCATGAAGGTTGGCTTAGGCATATTAAACATATTAAAATTAATTGAAATATTATTTTTAAATGGTATGGATTGAATCATTACATTTCCTAGTTCTAACACTGTAACTGACAAACATTTGCTAGCTATTGTGACAACTCACAGTTTGCCTTATATATTTAATATATTAACTCCTTCATTTATAAAATCAAAAAAGCAATTTAATCAGAAGCCACAATGGCTTGCTCAAAATGGGAGCATACACTTGTCAAATGTCTTCTATCCCCTAAGTGGATGCTATAAGTAGTAAAGCTCTGGCAACAAGAAATCGATCCAGGTTTTAGGAATCATTAGATTTTAGCAAGATGTTTTAGTCACATCAGAAATTGTGCTCTCTTACTGTATTCAGAGAGAAAGAACTAATCAGGAACAGTTTATGTTTTGCACAAACACTTCAGAATTGTAGAATTTTTCTTAAGAGTTAAACACATCAGAATCTAAGCATTTACAATACATCATACAATATTCTCAGACAATCACAAGAATAAGCAGAATAGGTTAACTACATAAGGCTTTAAAATTAGAAACACAGTGTGTATTTGAATATTATTTTGCTTACAAGTCAGGCTATATTTTAATTTTATTCAAGCAAAAATGTATTCTAGGGAAAGGCAGCTTATTTTATGATGAGTTGTCAACATTTGTTTTACTGTAGAGGAGTACATTAGTAAACTTTTCATAATAATTGAAACAATTCTAGTAAAACATTCAAATCAAAGTGTCAACTAAGTCTGTAAGTTTGTATGTTTGTCTATATAAAAACTCAAATCAAGATTAGATTTTTTGGAAGATTTTTACATGATTATTTTAAAATAGCTGTATATAAAGTTCCTTAGATTACTTGCCGATATCGGTTCCTTATTCTGTTTCTATTGGCCTTATTAATAGAGCAGTGCTTTGAAAACAGCATTTTTGGCCATTAATCAGTTAAGAAAAGAAAAACATTGAGAAGAAGACAAGGTAATAAAATACTTATTTTGATTTGCTCCCTATAATAAGGCCTGTAAAATTCAAGTGGTTGTCTTCATTCTTTTTTATTCCTTCAAATGCAATGGTTATTTGTATTTTATAACTGCTTCAATTATACCTGTGCAACAGAACATGTCACATTTTGAGATGTTTTAAAAATATTGTATATAAACTTGTTTGGGATATGCTAAAGCATTTGGCAACACGTTTACAGCATCAGAATTTACATAATTAAAATTTTACTTCCTTCTAAGACTTTTGTACATCTTAAAAAGATTTGCAAATTGACTTATGTACATAAGAAAACTTGCACAAAATATATAAACTACACAGGTTTTGTTCCATCATCTACAATTCCAGTTAATACTGGCATTAAAACCTTCATTAATTATGTTTACAAATCATTTTACCTGTACATTTATGAAGGCAACTGACCTGATTTGAAAACAAAACCATCAGGTTTTATGTTGTGGCTATTAAGATCTGGAGTTCAGCAATGAATTTCAACAAGTAACTAAACAAAACAGTTTACAAATTCACCAGTTCCTGTGATACAAACTGTTTTAATCTTTCAAGATACTGTACGTAAAGTTCCACATCATTATGTCCTGCCCCTTCAAGCCACAATGGTTCCACAGGTCTTTGGCAACGCTCAAATAATGCTAGGCCATGTGAAAAGTCAATCACTTCATCTTCAGTCCCATGGATTATTAACACCGGAGAAGTTATTTTAGATATCTTGTCAATACTACAGAAACACAGAAGAAAAAAATAACATAGTAGAAAATTCCACAGATGTCTTACATGCATAAATGGTTAAAATGAATATTTACCATGCTTTATTGACAGGGTGCCATTAGAAGTTTATTTGGTGGAGATATTCAAAACCAGGTCACACAAATTTACGTATAAATTAAAAAATTTGGGGGGGAAATACAGGATTGGTATCCTGCTGTGAATATATAGCAGAATTCTACTGTTACTGAAAAAACTATAAAGTGAGTTTTTTTCTAAGGGGAAGTTACTCCTTAGTTTCCCAACACCACCTCCATGTTTCAAAGAATAAGACAATATTTTGCAGCAATATATTAATGATGCTGAAGACTTGAGGAAGATGGAAGCACTACATGGATGGAGGCTACAATAGTTGTTAAGTGTGAGGACCAGTCATAACCACTTATATCTATGTCATTGTAACTTCAAACAATCTTTAAACAAATGCTCTAAGTCAAGGACTACCTGTGTGCAGATGGGCAGGCCTTATTGCAACCCATAGATTTTGTTTAATATGTTTTAACTGTCTGATATATAGCAGCATTAAAGTAAAAAAAAGGCCAGTTACCCCAAACAGGTTTCTTATTTAATGATTTTTCTTTTGACATTCAAGCAAAAAAAAGAGTATATGGATGAGATAACTAATTTCTAACTACATTTTTTTTTAAAAAAAGCACAGTAGCTTACTTTGGGAATGCATCAAAACAGTATGTCTTCTTTATGTCAGGAAAAGCTACTCTCATTCCTGAGGTCAGAGGAGAATGAAGAATTACAGCAGCACTTTCATAACGAGCAGCAAGATCCACAGATGGCACAGTTCCTATGCTCTGGCCATATATAATCACATTTTCAGGGCGAATTCCATATCTGAAAAAGTAGTTTTTTAATGTAATTTCAAAGTTATGAAATATGATATAAAATAAAAAAAATTACAAAAATGAAAGTGATGAAATATGCTATGAATAAAGTAAATATACAAGCGCAAGTAAAATAGTGAAATTATGTACCTTACAGAATGTAAAAAATAAATCATTTTATTCCCTTCATGAAGGGTAAAAAAGTTTAATAAGTACAAAAAATTAAGGCAAATACTTTTAAGTGAAATGTACCAAGAATATTATACTTTTAAGACTAAAAATATAGTCATTAGTATGTTTTTTTAAGTAGTGTCTAAAGATGAGCTTATAAAAATGGCATTCCACATTTGACAGATACTTGTCATCTCAGATGGCTGTTCAATGTCTATATTGCTTTCTAAAACATAGCACATGGAATTTATTAATCCAATTACATTTTTCTAAACTGATTTTACATACACAAACAGAATCACCTCATTCTTTCTGGTGAGAGGAATGTATGATGCTCCTTTTTTGCTGAATGACAACTTCCGTTTTATGCCAACTAGAATGCCAGTCAGGAAGCCAAACAAGCAATGAGCAAGCAGTACTTCAATATTTAGAGCTGTATTTTCCAAAGTTGGCAACTTCTAGGTGTGTGGAGTACTACCAGAATTCTCATCAGCTGTCATCTGCCTGAGTAATTCTGTGATGTTACATTTACACAACTAGAAATTTCAGTTCAATTCAAGCACGCTGATTTAGAGCATCAGCAACCCTCCTCCCACCCCATCTTAGAACATGTGCAAAAAGTATACTAGTAACTGCACAATTTCTAATTAAGAAATATTAGGAAGTATTCTGATCAAGGAACTACTCAAAAGTATAAAAGGTCCTAGAGATCATACAATTCTCAACTTCTGTCACCTGACTAAAAAGACATTTAAAATGCATTTGCTGTTACTAACATCTGCTTTAAAAACAAATAAGCATACAAAGTATGGTCAAATTTTAAATTATTATTTATCCCTACTCCATCATAAAATCACAACAGACACTGACCTACTAATTTATAAGTGTTTAGGCAAGGATCTGGTTTATCTTGTTTCAGCTAGAGGTGCTAATAATTACGTAGGGCTCAAGACTTACATAGAATCCTGTACACAGTCAAAAAAAATCAAGGGGGTTATTTAGTTAACATGCAAGTTTGTAAGGACAAATAAACAAATCCCTCTTTCTATATAAATTTCCAAGTAATTAAACCATTAAATCATAAAGAGTGACTGTGCCTTAAAATGCAAAAATATTTTTGAAAAACTTAGGAATGATGAAGACAGAAATGTGTTGGAAACATCAGCTAGCCTCAATTAAATTGCATATTTTTTAAAGACTAAGAAATTAGTTTGTTAAAAAAATACATCATGCCTAGTAACAGCAATAAAAGATAACCCACTACTAACTGGAGCAAACAGTAACTGCTCTTGATAAACAGAAGTGTGACAACAGCTTGTTCACAAATATTGTTCCTCTCCACCCACAACAAGAATGAAAAATACAGTGCAACCATCCACAAAGATATTGCTGAAACTGCATGTGTGGTTTAACCAGAAATATTCAGGTAAGTAATGCATACAGCAAGTTAAAAAAAACAGCAACAGCTGCTGCTTCTACTATAATCAGTGAGGAAAGGGTGGCACAGGTGCTGTTGGGAAGGATATAAGAAAGCAAAGGAATTAAGAAAAATTTGAAATGTATTTTTTCAACATAAAAATGAACAGAGTAAGAAGATAAGAAGGCTTAGATATTATCTGTGAGGTAGCCAGATTTAAAAAAAAGTATGTCAAAAAATATCCTTAAATATGTCTCCAAATATGCATATTAGAATGACTGCCTAAAACTTTCATTCTTAATGTTCAAGCTACAGAAGAGCCACAATAGGTAGGTTAATACTAAGCCATTATTTTAAATTAATTGTTGCTCTAGTGACACAGTTCATATAGCAAGCCATATAACATGGTTTACAAATCAAAATGGATTACTGTAATACAGCTACACCTAAATAAACTACATGATGGCTTAAAACAGGACTATCAAGCCTGCAGGTCAGACACATCACACGCTGGCCACGCCCAAGCCCAGTTAGCGAAGGGGGGGGGAAATCACGATATGTCACATGACAATGCAAGTGTGATACCCCTGGTGTAGAATGATGGGAACTTAAACAATGATGCTTTAGTATAAGAAAGCATTCGATGTAGAATCCCTATCACACTAAATCAGCTTGATTTCAATCATTTATTTTCTGAAGTTATGAATTAATCTGAAGTACTGGTTCAATTAGCACCTCTCACTTGATTTTCCTTGTCAATGGAAAATAAATCAATATTAATACTTTACTAACCTACACTTTATACCTTATTGATCTGAACTGCATTGTCACAATATAAACAAAAGCATTATTTATCATGAATTAGTTATTTTACTTAGTGAATTTAAAAAAAGACAATATGAACAGATATTTTTAATGTAAAATCTCTCAAAGGCCTGGGCAAACCAGGGCGAGTAGAATCCAATTTCCTCACATCTTATTTTTTACAAGTCTCTAATAAAGCTTTCCTGAGGATTGAAAGAATCTGAATAACACTGGCAGGGGAAAATGTGAGCACGGTTACAGTCACTGTGGCATACAGCCACTAACTGTTATCTTTCTCCTCAGTCCCCATACCACAATTGGTCCATTCTGCAGACTTTTCCCAATGCTCAGATAAACTTTTTCAGGAAGGCTTCTGCTAGGCCTATTATGCACACAGTCAAATTAACTATGAGAATAAACAAAAATTCTACTAACTTTGTAAAATAATGTAACTATTTACCTTGTTCTAAGAGCTACCCAAGCAGCATCAATGTCAGCGTACAAATTCTTCTCTGTTGGTTTTCCAGAACTTGCTCCATATCCAGAATAATCATATGAAAATATGTTGCAATTAATCCGTGAACCAAGTCCTATGTAAAAGCTGCTCATCTGACCTAAATCAACAGCATTCCCATGCGAGAAAAGTAAAGTATACTTGGCGTTAGGGGAACAACGCACAAACATACAGGCAATCCTGTTACCTTTGCTGGTTCTAGTCATGAAACATTCAATAGCATCTTTTTCTCTAGAAGAGTATTGCCAGTCTGCTCGATCAGAAAGATGTAGAGTCCAACGACTCCCACTTTCATCACACATGAGTGTATAGGTGGGATCTGGGGGCAAAAATGCCAGTTTGGAAGCTATTTTTCCTGGACATGGTGGGCAACAGAATAGGCAGCAGAGTTCACTAAATGAAAGATTGTTCATCCTCCAATCTGAAATAAAAGGGAAAGGATGTTACCTTCTAGTAGGAATTCTTCAGCAACAACAATAATAAACATTTCAAATACTAATATACCAGGAATTTTAGAAAAGGTAAAAAGGAGTGAATCAAATTCATTACATTTTCAGTAAAACATTGAACTTTTACATAAAATACCAATATTATATAAATAATTATTGCTAAAACAGCCATCATAGGGCTTTCAAATCAAAATTTTGATTAAGAAGGAATTAGTGTTCTAAGAAAAAAATGGTAATGGTAAACTCATTACCTTTTGTTTCTGAAGTGGAACATTAAATAATACCATCAGGAATGTTATTCAGCTTTCTACTTAAAATAATAGCTCAGTTATAGATCAACACAACACTAAGTTATTTAGAAACCACTTGTAAGTTGTAATCAACTTAGGCATAACAAAGCAATGATTAATGCAGCAGATATGACATTCATAATCAACTGAAATTTTGAGTGTATTTTTTCCATAAATAACCAATATATTGCAAAGCATACAAAAAGATTTACAAAATATAACAATGGTCAGACAGCCAACATTGAATATGGTGTAACCATCCCAACAATCCTAGTTGTCATACATAGTATGGCATAAAATACATACTTTAAATATATTTATACAGCTATACATTTCTATGATATTTCCCAGTTCTGGTCATCCGTTCTGCCATCCCTATTCTCTTTTGATTTTAGATCCTTCCTTTTTTCCCACCATTGACAGAATTTATCCCAAAATTTATAATACTCTATCTTGTCTTTGTCTTTCATTTTCCAGGTTAGTTTATCCATCTCAGCTCATGTCCATATCTTTTTATTACGTCATTTTCACAAGGAATTTCTTTTTCTACTTTTGGGCAAAGGCTACCCTTGCTGCCCTAATCATACGAATTATTAAATAGATCTCCTCTTTATTGTATTTTTCTGTTATAATTCCAAGTAGGAAAAATTCTGGTTTGAATTCTATTTTATGACCTAGCATCTCCTCAAGCCATTTCTGGATTCTCTACCAAAACTCCTTGGTTTTCCTACATTTCCACCATATGTGATAATATGATCCATATTCTTTGGTATCTTTCCAGCAGTTGAGTGATGTGTTTGGGTACATTTTAGACAATTTTTCTGGTGGAAGGTGCCACCTATAAAATATTTTATATGTTTTCCTTATACAATGTGGCTAGTGTTATTTTTTTTCTTCTTTCCCATAAAGTTTCCCAATTATCCAAATTAACACAGTAGCCAAAAATTTCATCATTTCTTTTCCCTACTTTTCCACCAGCTTAAAATCCAGTAAGTATATATAAATTTTCCTTCTCAATTTATCCTCTGATCCAAGTAATATTTTATCCAATATCGTGGGTTGTCTACTAATCCCCCATTATTTCACATCTTGCCATTCCTTGGACTTGTAAATAAGCCCACCATTCCAATTCCACCCCTTGGTCTTTCAATTCCTATCTTGATTTTAATCCTTCTGCCTCATTTATGATCTCTTGCTAGGTAATGGCTTTCACTTGGCTAAAAAAATTCGGGTGTACTTAAGGCTTCAAGCGTATATAGCCAAACTGGGGTTTCTATGTATGTTTGTGGTTTGATTTTGTTTCAGACCAAAAGTAATGCCTGTCTAATCTGGTGTCGCTGTGGGCTTCGTGTCTGCCATACCATAAAAAGGCATGTCAGCTTAGTTGTAAATTATGTCCTTCCAATGCTAACTATCTTCTATTTTTTAATATTATCCAATCTTTTACCCAAGTTAAAGATGCTGCCTGATAGTATATTTCCCAATCTGGGAGACCAAAACGCCCTCTTTCTTTGGCATCTTGCAATAATTTTAATTTAATCCTAGGTTTTTTTCTTTTTTCTTTAGTTTTAATTTAACTTCTTTAAAATGTTTATGTTGTTAATTCTTTAATAAGTTCAAACAGGGAAAAATGATTTTTTTTCAAAACAGCACCTGACAAAAGGATTTTAGTGAAGATTTAAGCATATAATTGCTACTAGCAAAACAATTCTTCTAGCCACTACAAATTATTACATTCATTTAAAAAATGTAACAGATAATAGAATATATACAAGTATTCATTTGTTAATAACCATTTATTCAGCTACTGGTCTAAGTTACAAAAACACCGACACAGAAACTTATGGCCAGTCCTCAAAGTTGCAGCCATTGCAGTGTCCCTATGATGAGTGACATGCTTGCAATTTGGGTATTTGGCTACCAATGCACAATTACAACAGTCACAGCACCCCATGATCACCATTTGCAACCTTCACTGCTGGCTTCTGACAAGCAAAAACAATGGGGAAGTTAGCAGGAAGTCACACCTCACAGTCACATTGTGCTTAAAGAATGCACCATTTTCTTAAGAACCACAATTGGAACTGCTGTCATAGTTGCTGTGGTCACATGATTTTCAACTTTGCAAACCACGTTGTTTAGTGGCCAAGTTCCTTGTCCCAATTATGGTTATTAATAAAGGACTGTTTGATTATATATTATAATTTATATGATCACTCATTCATCTCAGTGACTGAGTGGCTTACAAAAATAAAAACCTAATATCACACTGTAAAACAATACCCTCCACACGTACCCTGGCAACAACAATCAATCAGATAAGTCACTTGATGGGGTCCATCCCGCTCTGCATTCCTCAGGCCCATTGATGAAATCAGGGCTTCAGGGCTTTGCAAGAGTTTCAAAATGGAGGCCAATCTTATCTCCCCAGGGATGATGCCCCAAAGAAAGGGAGCCACCATGAGGAAGGCCGTTCTAGATTCCACCAGATGTACCTCCTTAGTAGAGGGCCCCTGCAACATTCCCTGCCTCCCCTCTCTAACTGTGAAAAGACTGTCCTTCATGAAGAGAGCCTGGCTCCAAACCATGTAGGGCTTTAAAAGTAACAATTGGCACCTTGAATTGTATCAAAAAGCAAGTCAACAGCCAATAAAGCTCCATCAGGAGAGGCGACACATACACACACACACACACGTGTCTCCACGAAACCATGCAAAACCAGGCTGTCTCATTTTGAACCAATTGGACCTTCCAGATACTTTTCAAGGGCAGCCCCATGTAGAAGGCACTGTAATAGTCAAAGTAGGTGATGATTAAGGCATAAGTGACTGAGAACCCCCTGCATGTGTGCAGACAAAAAGCCATATTGGGGAGGAAAAAGAACCTGGGTTCTCCTCTAATACTGATTACCCAATGAGAACCTTGATTGAGCGGCCAAGAGTTTTTAAGCCATTGCCTCCACCTAAGGAAGTGCTGTTTGGCTAAGTAATATAAAAGTTGCTGAAATACCAGGTGAAAAACAATATGCCAAAATATAGAAGCCAAGTATTTATATAATTACAACAGCACACCACATTTGTTTACTTTTTTACTAGTACCTCATGCATTTTAAATAAATTAAATTGTAACTTTAAATCACAGTGTTACCATGCTTGAATCATACTTTTTAATATCTAATTTTCCTGAATCCACCCGCAAAAGGAGAGCTACACACAGAGGAACCATCAGGCTTACTATGCCAAATCCAAACACTTTTGTCTGTTTTATATATGAATACTGACTACTTATTGTTTTCAAAATGTCTGGCTTCACACATAACTTTAGGTACCAGAGTGGATTCTTCTTTTGTTTTGTTTGGCATTTAATTGGCTTTAGTTTGATTCCGTTTCAACTATGGGGTTGTAACTTCTGTTGTATTTTTATTGTTGTTCTTGTAGTAAATTTTAAAACCTTATTAATAGTATCTTAAAATACAACACTCCATCGAACACTCTATTCTAATCAGAACACACTGTACCAAGAATGCTATGATCTTCCTTAATAATAAAGCTTTTGATTAAGCATTTTTTTTAAAAAAATTATGCTGCGCATTTATTTCCCCTCCTTGAAAAACAAGAACCTCAGGAATTAAACAAAACTGAACATAACTGACGTGTCTGATTCTTGTGTCTGGTTTCTTTGAAAAAGTAAATTGGATGCACAATAAATCTATTTCTCAGAAGTCTAAATACATTTTATTACAGAACTATCAATGGTACTACACAGTAACAAATATCACACAAAATATATCACAAGACTGCAAAACAAATTTACAGACAAAACAGAAATTTAGATAGAAATAGGAACTTTCATTTTTGAAAAAGGAATTTATTTAGTTTTAGACAAATGAATTTTAACTAAGATAATTCAAGTTAAGTTTTACTGAAAAGTGGTAAAATGGATACTTTCTAAAAAATGTATGCTATGTTCCATAACTATTTTGAACAATAAAGTCTATGGGATTGCTGCTTGGTAGAGTTGTATTCTAGCAATTCTTGCTCTACTAGATTGCTAAATAACTTAAGATATTAAATTTGTTTTCCTCTATTGAGCTACTTACAAATTTAACACAAGTGCAATATGCTGTATTAAATATGAGCTGGTGTAACACCTTTGCATAACAAGCAATCTGATAGCAGCACCCATGATGCTAATACTACTTCCTTTAGAAGTGTGACTAAGAAGATATATTAAAGCAAGCTATGCTGTGGCCCATTTTCACTATGCAGTTAGCTCAGCAATATGCATGCTTAAAAATAGAAGCTAATATTTTCAATATAGAATTCAGAGACATTTCTGTACTACAGGTTAAGTGAAAAAAGACTATTTCATTAAATACATCTTTTCTCACAGCCCTTTCCATTTATAAGAGTAACTTCCATTTGAATGTTTGATAGAACCTGAGCAAATCTATCTTGCAACTCAATTCCCCAAATCATATTCTTTTTAGCTCAACAGGGTTAACTCTAATGTATGCATAAGATGATAGCAGATGGATCTTTCATGAATTTTAAGCACATTCAAAAAAAAAAAAAGATGAGGACTCGTTCTAGATTTTTCAGCCTTCAAATCAGCAGATAATGTTTTCTGATATTCCAGCCACAATAGCGAAAGACTAATTGTTGC